TTGTCTTTCAGCGTAGAAAGGGCCTTAAGGAGTCCAAACTATTGAAATCATATTTCTTAGATTTCAGCTACTCCCATATTTTGAGTGTCAGATATCTGAATTCACCAAAAAAAAAAGGTATGTTTATTCAGTGAAAGTACGTTTTTAGGTCTGATTTCATAACTTCAAACATCCTCTATACTAATGATTAACATATTTGATATGGAGTCGTAGAATGTAAAAATCCAATCATTAGATCAAAAGTTATTTAGGGTGGTCTGTTTTTTTTCCCTCGCCCACTATACACCTTATTTTATGACTACACTGAATGAGAATTTAAGGTATCAAACAACTGAATTGTTATTCTTCTAAAACACTTTATTAATTAAGAAAGTAATTACAAACCTCACACTATAAAACTATGTTAATTTCTTAAGTCTTACAAACATTTTTTAACTTAATTATTAGAATTGCAAAAAAAAATTATGTTCTCTAAAAAAGTAATAAATTGTACTTTGTTCTTGAACAGTTTATAAAAGAAATGTAAGATTACAAAATAATTTTTTTTATTTGCAGATTTAACATTTTATTTTCTCTAAGACTATGCTAATTTCAATTTAAAATTGTTCCATTTCTATTATAAAAATTTAAGAAACAGTTCTTCATTCTCAATCTTGCTAATTTGTACTTATAACATTTCTACATTAACTAGTTACATCAACTAAACACCTTAATAATTATTTGCAAAACATTTAAACACCATAGAAAATTCTAAAATTTATCATTATCTGCAAAACAGGTGGAATAATATTAGTACTCAAATGTTGCACTTATTTAAGTTCACAAGTTTTAAACGGGCAAGAATGTTTAATACTTATATTTATGTGGAAATGGTTGCACCGCTAAAACAAAACACTTTTGAAAAAAGAATAATTCTGAGACAATAAATTTAATATAAAAGATATTTTTCAGTTCAGTTATTTTTTGTTTGTTGAAATAAATCGACATTAAAAATAAAATTTTTAAAATTGGATTTCAAACATTTCTATTCAATTCCAAAATGAAAGTATTTCATGTTACAGTCCTGAGAACCAAAATCAGAGAAAAATATGGATCCTGCAGTAATAATAAAAAGAAAAAAAAATTCCTGGAGGCTAAAAATTTTAATATAGAACAATTTTCACATGTTTAACAGTTTGAGTATTCCTCGATTTTTCAAATTTTGCGATCGATTATAGCATGGTACTAAAAACCATGAACATTTCAAAAACTTTGAGGTAATAGGTAGCAGTATTCTTGTTTACAATAGATATATGTCTATTTTATCTACAACAACAATATTTTGTCTACAACTGTGGTGCCTTTTGTCTGCAATGATTGCTTGTGCAATGACTGTGGTGCTTGATGCCATGCCATACTAGTTCTGCAATCAGGATTACCAATATAAAGAAAACCTTACTTCTTTTGTATAAAACAATACCCAAGTCAAAATTCTTGATGGTCCCACCAAAGCGTTTTGATGGTTTACATTGGTTTCAGTGTGATTCATGATGGTCCAACATCATTTGATGGTTACCATCATCCAGCATTTTCCATTATGCGTTCATAGTACATGATATGCCAACTAACTTCCATCATTCCATAATGGAAGATGCTATTTTAATTCTATGATGGTTCCAACTATACATTTTCATGATGGCTTAATGGAAATTTTTGTTGGTTCAACATGAACAAACCATCAAAACAAGTTGCTTTTCTTATGTTGGACCATCCAAAATCAGTTCTAATTCCTACATTGGGGTGATGGTGGTTCATGATGGAATTATTGATGGTTACCATCAGGATTATGTTGGTCCATCAATGGAAAACCATCAAAAATTTTGACTTTGGTAAAATATGAGTTAGGGTTACTCATAAGGGATAAACAGCAAAAAGTACAATAAACAAACAATACAGCAAAAGTACAAGCAAAGTTTTCTAGTTTCATATTTAAAGAAGAAAAAACCCTCACTTTTCTTCCTGGATCTTTCATTATTTTCAACATCTGCCCCATTATCTAGCTTCCCTATTTACCAGTATTGTTCAGAACCTTAACAACAGAACACCATCCTTCAGAACCACGGTACCTCTTTCAGAACGCATTTCTCTGCAACCACATGTTTACCGTAGGCAAGGTTTCTTCATGTAAGACGTTAAAATTTTTTGCTCGTTAACGTAAGATGAACAAATACCTTGTAAAGCCAATATCTTCTACTCCGAAACGGAGAAATGAAAATGAAACAAATGTGGGTAGAAACGATCAAAACGAAACAAATACGCATTTGAGAAACCTAATGAGAATAGCTGATGAAAAAGTATATGTAGAACATTTTCCATATGATGATGCAGCAAAAATATTCAATGCTTTAAAAATTAGAAGATGTTAAACATGCATTATAATTGAAGAAATGATTTTTTTTTCAAGTCTCTTTGTGTTTTTTTTTTTTTTTTTAAACTTTTGAAATCTCACTTAACTTTTTGAAATCTCACCCTGTTTTTAAGAAAGGGTGAGAAATTCTCACCCATTTTTTTTTCTGAGATGAAAACACTGTAATGCGTTTGGTGAGGTGGATTTCCTTTAATTCGTGAGCAACCCAAACATCCAGTTTGTTTACGTAACCAAGCTGTTGTAAATGCAAGTAAACGGTTGAATTCGATATGTCGAGCTTCTCTGCTATCTCTCGAGTTGTCATACACCGGATAGCTTCGATTAACACCTTTATTTTGTCGTCATCAGTAGTGGTTGGACGACCAGTATGAGGTGCATCTTGCACATAAAAATTTCCAGCACGAAAGCGAGCAAACCAACGCTGACACTGGCGCTCAGTAAGGCAGTCCTCACCATAAACTTCACACAATTTCTTCCGAGCTTGCACCGCATATTTGCCCTTTTGGAAGTAAAACAATAAAATATGACAATAATGCTCTTTGAGTGTCCATTTTCAGCTAAATGTTTAACCAACTTGTTATTTACTAATGACGCTGTGGTTTTGACTAAAGAAAGGCTAAAGTCTAATCTTTAAAATAGTATACAATAATATAAGCCACGCAATCCCTACTACATTAAATATGCAATTCAAGTCATCTATGAGAAAATAGAAAAAAAACGACATTAATTATGACACAACACGATATTTAAGTAAAATCTCACTTGCTTTTATATAACAATTCACCTACTTTTTTTGCACTCAATGAAAAAAATTTATCATTTGACAGTTTGTCACCAGTTGCCAAACTATATGTTAGAATTATTTACCTAAAATCTCACTTTCTTTTAAATAACAATTCAAGTGCCTGTTTTTTCTCCAACTGATGACGAATATTCATCATTTCACAGTCAATCACCAGTTGCCAAATAACAAAAATTCAGCATTTGTATAAAGCAGTAAATAATTATCAAAAAAAGCTTTGCCTTTGATCAATGATAGCACAAATAAAACCTAAAGAATATGTCTTAAAGATAAAGTATCTTTTTAAGTTTATTGGAGGACTTTTCCAAGTTCTAAACAAAAAGGTCAGGACAGCCTGGTTGGTAGGGAGCTGGACTCATGTCCAAGAGTTTGTGGGTTCGATCCCTGCTGGCCGAAGACTCCCCGTGTAGCAAATGGTGACTGATGCACGTTAAATCTGTCGAGTTGCTAAGTCCTCCATGTTAATATAACAAATTAATACACTTGGGGGTACTGATCCAGGAGTTTCCTTTTCTTCTGGATTGGTTCAAAATTGCAAGGCTACAGAGTTGAACATTAATAGTGGTAAACCCAAAATTGGGTCGGCTGTTCAACGACGGATATAAAATAAAATATAAAAAGTTCTACCAAAAAAATTAAACATTTTATAACAATTTTCTTATTATTTTACTCAAAATCTGAAAATTGCATATTTTCCTGTTCTTCTCAACACTTGACTCTGTTTAAAAATAAGAACAATAAATTTAATTCAAATATGAGAATTATAAACATTTTAAAAGTTGATAATCGAAATGAAACATCTACTTACTGTTCTTCTGAACTTTTGCTAGGTGAACAAAAACTACCCTCAGCAGCAGAAGATTTTAAGGGGGAAGACGATTCGGATGCTGCTGCAATGCCAGATGCAAAGAGTTCTGCTTTAGAGATTTTGCCATTGCTTTCATTAGTAGAATTTCGTTGGTCTTTGGCAATATTATTTTCATCTGAATTTTCTTTACCATCTTGTTTCGTACCTATACACATTTACAATCCTTAATAAATTGCTATATATATTTACAAAATTTTTTTTTCAGAAAATACTATATGTTTTCTATGGGTTTAAATAAAAGGTTTACAGGGTATCTGCCACATTTAAGATTTTCAAATCCATGACTTTCCATGACTAATTCCAAGTATTTTTTATGACTTAACAAGTTACTATTTTCTCCGACAAAGGCACAGCAGTAAATTTAAAAAAGCATTATAATGACATTAATTGAAATTATAGGTACAGTGACCCCTCACTTATGCACCACCTCTTTTATGCACCTTTTTCATTTATATGACGATTTTTATAGGTCCCAGTAAATTAGGTAGGAAAATAATGATAAACATCCTTCGTTTATGTGTCAATTTAAAAATAAATTTTTCAATTATGCGCCGAAATTTTAGGTTAACATTTCAATTATTTTCCCCCTTCAAATACTTTAAAAAAAAAAAAAAGGTTTTAAATTAAAAATTGAAGCAAATAAGCAATCCTTGTTACAAATAAAAAGAAATATGTTGTTAGATGCTATTTTATAGTTCACTTTTCTACCCCTAGCAACCTTCTCATTTCTGCTGTTTCTAGAAAGACATTCTTTCTACAATTTTGAATAGGGTGTCTTATCTGTTACACCAACGACATTGAAAGCCCATTCATCTTTAAGAAAATTACCACTTCTCTTGCCCAAAGGTTAGTATTACACCCATGCTGCCTCCTAAAAAAAAAGAGCTGTTCATTTATATCTAACTTAAACTTGCATAGTATTTAAGAGTGGTCTCTCAACGAAATGGCAAAGAGAACAAAATTGAGCTTATCCTTTAAAGCCGAAGAAAATTCATCAACAACTAATAAAGCTTTGATTGATCATTTTAAAATTCATGAATCAACTTTAAAAGGGATTTTTAAAAAAAAGGAGTTAAAAAAAAGGTTGCTACTCAACGGGAATGTGGAATAAAATCCTGGAAGAGAAGCCCTGTTCAAAGTGGAAAGTTTTAAGAACTGGAAAGTGTTTTAATACAATGGCTTAAAGAAGCTCGTGCTTCTAACATTCCGGTTAATATTGAATTACTTAGGCATAAAGCAGTTCATCTTGCAGAAACTTTGAAAAATTAAAAACTTTAATCAAAGAATACAAACCAAAGGACATTTTTAATTGTGATGAAACTGGTTTGTTTTTCAGGATGATGCCTAAGAAAACATTGACATTTAGGGGGGAACCCTGCCACTGTGGAAGAAACAAAGAAATATTAACCGTTTTGTTACGTTGTAACGCAGATGGATCAGAGAAACAATCCCCTTTTATTATTGGCAAGTCGAAAATGCTTCGCTGTTTTAAATGTATAAAGCGACTTCCCTGTGAGTACTCCAGCAATAGAGCAGCATGAATGACTTCAAAAATTTTTTACCCTTTCTTCATTCATTTGAGAGAAAAAAATGGAAAAAGAAAAGTCCTCCTTTTTAGGGATCAATGTCCAGCCCATCCACGAGACTTGCCAACTTTTGAACACATCAAAGTAGTGTTTTTTCCTGCACACTGCATGAGCAAGTTACAGCCTTTGGATTAAGGCATTACAGAAAAACATTGATTCGTCGATATCAAGCAGAACAGAAACAGGCAAATCAGCAGCAGTCGACGTAAGAATTTCAATTCCTGACGCTATGAATATAATATGCGCTGCATGGAGCATCATTGGACAATCCAGCATAAGGAATTGCTTCAAAAAAGCTGGATTTCTATTTTCAGAAGAAAATGAATTTATGGATCAAATTAACGAAATTGAAGAAGATTGGGATATTGATCTTAGTGATAACGAATGGGAAGTTGTATCTAATAGACTTGTTTCTTTTAATGAATTTATTGTCTTTGATGATAATCTATTGACAACAGAATTAAGAAACATTGATGACATCGCTAATGAAATGGACGATGAGAACGTAGAGGATGATGAAGTTCTTCCAAATCACTCAGCAGTATTAGAAGCTTTAGACACTATTCGTGACTATGTACAATTTAAATTTTCTTCTGAAATGCCTTTATCTCATTTATATGAACTGGAAACAACTGCTTTTGAAATACGTAGGCAAAAACAAATACAAACTTGTATTAAGGATTATTTTGTAAGAAAATGAATTGTCTTTAGGTACGTTATATTTTTTTCTTTGTATAATATATTAAATACCAAAACAGTATAAATATTAACATTTTATCTTCTGAAACATATTTATTCATATTACTGCAATTTATGTCGCGTTTTAGAATTTCGAAGTTTTCACTTATCGTTTTTTCACTTACTTTTATTTCAAACAGTCACCTTTATAGTAACTAGTTTTTAAAAAAATTTACTTCTTACAAGAATTGCGATAGTTGATCTTAAAATTGCGTGAATATGAATATCAATTATGGATTTTGAAATCACATGAATATGAAACTAGATATACGATTTTGAAAATGAGAAAAAACAAGCTGGGATATAGAATTTTTAAAACTCGTAAATACAAATCACGATTCATAATTTTTAGATCGCATAAATACGAATCATGATGCGTAATTTTTAGATTGCATAAATAAGAATTATGATGCATTACTTTTAGAATGCGTGAATGCGAATCCCAATGCCTTATTTTAAAATCACGTATAAATACGAAAATCAATGTTTGATGTAAACACTTTGAA